CAAATATTTATAAACCATAGTGATTAACTGGAATAGAACATTTAACACTAATCAGTCACTTTTGGGTCACTACAAACATTCGTACCCTTCTACAAGAAATACAATAACTTAAATTTATAATTGAAAATTTTTGATGCATGGACGTTACCTACTAGATTTTAAAATTTCTAAAAATCACGTTTTGGAAAAGTTGACGAATAATGATCCCACTCAACACATAAGTTTCCAAAAAGTTAAAAGGGGGTTTTGAAATCTGCAAATCGTCAGAACACTTCTGACAGTGTTAAACGGACGGAGACAGGGTTGAACATGTCCAGTCGTGAAATATCGGCTTCACATGAACTTCAGCACAAGCATTTGTTAAAAGTTGGAACACTGAACGTCCAACAACAACGTTTTGTGTTCTACATTCTTCGGAATTTCTCAGAACTTCAACTGTGCCTCTCACAAAGATTAATGATCTGAGGTTTAAGCATTGACTTTGAATACCCCTATTAGACATGTTAGGGGTTAGTTGTCACGTTTTAGTTACAACCCCAGAGAACACGTTATACTTAAACAATTTATATTGTTGTAAATGGTAAACAAACTAAATTTATTGAAAGAAAATAAATAATTAGTAAATATCTAAACGTATTTTAGAGATTTTGTGAGAGTTGTATTCTACAAAATATGTATATTTTGCCAAAGTTTTAGAATCTTACTTAGAATTTAAATTGATATTGTTGTCCACAAATCAGTATTCTACATAATAATTGGATTGATGCAAAACTTAAAATCATATTAGATGATCCATGAAAATTGACCGGCGTTTCAATTGACCTTTGGTAAAATTATTGTGATGCTGAGAATGTTTTTACAATATATAAATGCACAGTTGCCCTCTAAAAACAAATTAAAAAAGACTGTGTTGTATTTGTTCTTATTAAAATATTAATTTTAAAACGCAGAAATAATCTACAATACATACATTTTTGATAAGTATTTATGAGTAAACTATTTGTAGGTTTTACAATTAATTCTCTTTCACTATAAATACTGATTAATTTACATTAAAGTGTATTATATTTTGATGGATTATAGACTATAGAGAGTATAAGATATTATATTAATTGTTGTGAAATCAGCTGTTGAAATAGATCCATGATGACAATCACTGTTTGTTCGAACTGTGTTCGTCATTTGGTAACAGTCCGAGCTTTATGGGGCTAAATTTGATTACTGTGCACAGCTGGACAATTTATTACTCTGTTTTGGAATTATCGTTCCATCGTTTATAAGCGGGAACCCCTCGAAACATGGAAATGTAGCAGAATCATATGAAGTGAAAATCCTCATTTCATTTTGCCATACGAGCTTAGTAGTTATTTATATTCAACGCATTAAAGTGGTATGCTGAAATTATAGTGTTATATAAAAAAGATAAGAATAAAGAGAAAAAAACGTATAAAACTCTAAACATATTATTGTTTGCTGTAAATTAGTTCTAACTACTAGTAACTTTAGGCCCTTCTCAAAATTTGATTTAATTTGTTGATGGAAGAATACTGTAAATTTTATCTTTAAACCATCACTCTATTTGTATGGATTGCAAAAATTCAAGAATATTGAAGTTACTAGTTTAAACTCACATCTTCATTATATTTCAGTATCGATTCCTAATTAATTATCCAAAAACAGTGATAATTTAGCTTTTTGTCTAACTAATTGCAACACTATCACACGTTTTAATGCTACTTAGCAAAGGAAACTTACCTACAACGTAAAGATTATTTATTTTTATAGTTTTAAATTTAGAAAGTACCTGACTGATGACTCATGTTCATCAATAAGCATGTATTTTATCTCGGTCAAGTTGTATATTATATGTTTAATTCAACATCGAAATTGCTTATTATCATTATTTAAACGCTACCTGTTACTTTTACAATAGCACTGTCTATAGCTAAACGAAAAAAAGGCTACATAGAAGGGAAAATCATTAATTTTCGAACGTAATAAATTTTGGCAGGCACTTAAGTGATGGCTTTCATTTTCATGAATGAGCGTCTTAACTCATCGTCAGCTAACACACGCTATTCCCCCCATCACCACCCCTCCCCACTAAGTATGGGGGGTGAGTAACTGTAAATGTGAGATTATATTTCACGTTGACGTCAGCCGTTGAAGGATCTTTGTCGTGAACAACCATTACGAGAGAGGAAATGCGTTTACATACATTTTCCAAAATGTGTTTGATACAGAAATATGTTGAGAGCGTGTAGTCATAATTTATTCTGTAAGTGGGCGATTTTCCATGAGATTGCTCCATGAATATTGACCTTAGACTTTGGTAATATCGGAATAAAAGAACATCTTGAGTGTTAGCAGATGATTTTCCTTAGTCACTAAATGTTGGTAGATGAATGTTAAGTTTTAACATTAAGGCATATATTGAAAGTGGAAACACAAAATTATTACAGTAAGACTAATTAGTAAAGAGTGTCTTAAGCAGCGGCTACACTTACCCGATTCGGTCCGGTCCGGTCTGGTCCTCCAAAATGCGGAACAATGCTTCCCATGTTTTTAAATGGAGGCGGCTACACTTACCCGATTCGGTCCGGTACAGTCCGGTTCGGCGCGGAACAATCGTCCAGGGAGCATTCATCCGCATTTGGCGAAAGCATTCGGGGCGGACCGGACCGAATAGGACAAGTGTAGCCACCTACTCCCGAAATTCGGATGAGGATCGGGTGATTCCGTTAGCACTCGGCTACGATAGTGATTAATTAAATTAGGAAAAATAGTTATTTGTAGGACATAGGCCTAAGAATTTAGGCAATTATGTTCATATATTGACTCGATCATGGAAGACGATAATTATGGCTACACGACCGCGGAAAATAGTCTGAATTTTGCCGCAATATCGGGAGACGATTACAATGTCTACACGGCCGCGAGGGATTATAGGAAGTTTACCGCGATTGCATGCAAATACAACCAAATTTTTTTTAATTTTTCATTTTTTTGGCACCCCCCAAAAAAGCCAAGTGCCTCGCACCCAAAGCACGTGCCTACCGAGTACCGTGCCTATTCGGTTAATCGGTCCTGACTAAACACTTTCTGTATTGCTGTACTTGTGCCCCGTGCTCGTGTGTGTCATCCAAAATATCGTACAAGTGTAGCTACCTCTTCCGGCCGGACCGAAACGATTCGTACAAGTGTAGCCACCTCTCACAAATTCGGGCCAGACCGAAACGAACCGGACCGGACCGAATCGGGCAATTGTAGCCGCTGCTTATAGAGTATTGCATTGCATACATAGGCATTCTTACTGCTTGATTTATATGTACTTATGTAGTAAAACTAAGGTAACTCAATGGGAGCGAGCTAGTATTGTAGTTAGAGTGCAGTACATCGGTACCTGAGGTCCCAGGTTCAAATCCCACCAAATCACCAATGGAATTCATCTAAATGATAGCGCCGCAACCTCTTGGTCTATCCAAGGGTAATGAGAAAACAATCGCGGGCTCCTACATCGCGTCCTAGAAAAAAACCGGGGTTCAAACCCCTACAAAGGAAATATTTATGCACGTGAGAACTTAATCTTTTCGGGTGACCACAGGGACTAGTTCGAGGGAATATTTTAGACGCGAATAAGCTTTTTAAGCTGAATTTTTGTAATAATATTGCAACACCACCTTTCTGTAAGTAACCACAGTTGATTCGGTAGTAGATTTTGTCCACCCAGAACAAACAGAAACCTAATTTATTTTATACTGTTATAGATTTGCTTGTATTAGCATTCGTTGCAAATCATTAAGCTAAGTTAAACAATTTAAATAATTAACACCAAATAAATGTGTAAGTGCATGATTGTCACCAAACAGACACCTACATGTGAGAAATCCCATTTAGAAGACGGTGTGTTTCTCGCTGAAGCTCAACAAAACATGTGAGATGAAATATAACCTCCCATGCTTACAATGGAGCTCTCCAGTAAATGGAGGTTGTGGAATGAATGTGTATGACGCGCAGTGACTGGCAATGAATTAGACTGCGTTTAGACAAATGGCTCTCTTAGCCCAGGGGAGTGTTTCTACCCCAGTTTTATTTTGGTTTTGTCTAGATTCTACATCGAAGAAGAGGTTTTTGGGGGGTATGTTTAAATATTTTGTAACCCTAGATTGGAATTTGTTAAAATATGTGTAGGATGATATTTAAGTAGGTACATAGTTAAGTTTGTCTAGTTGATTGGAATGTTTAAATTGGGAAAACATTACGAGAGAGTATACAATGCATCCAAGAGAATACAATGGGATACAAATATTAATTTTCACTATGTGACAGGGTAAATTTCGAAGGTTATAATAAAATATTACACTCTTATAAAAGCTAAAGAGAATATCATGTAATCTTAAATTAATTCAGTATAACATTTGAAAACTTCTGCAAAACTTTGTACGTAAACAACCTTTAATAAACAAGTCCACACTGTTGATAGAATAATCAACAACAAAATTAAATTATCTTTCCCACAAGGTCATCCAGATTTAATGAAAATGTTATTAGTTAATATGTAATACAAAAAATGCAAATGAAAAATACATAAATACTAATCTGTTATTAGGAGTTATAAAAGTATTTAATTTCAGATTAAGAGACAGAAATTTCATCCAGTTAAAAAAATGATACTTTAGTTTGTCTAGATCCAATTGATTACTCATGAAAAAAATCCACAGGAACTAAGCAGCATATTGGGAACTCATTTAATAAATGTAAAACTATATCACGGTAAAAATAATAAACTCAACATGTGATTTCTATTGTCACAATTTAATTACTGTAGGCACTGTAGGCTTTGAAAAAAAAAACAATGAATTCTGGTCTAAAAACATTTGAAAGATACTAACAACCCTCCTACTAACTTTGCTCATTTGTAAATCTCACTATTTTTATGCAACTATACAACTATACAATTAGAATATACATTCACACTTTTATAAACACTTTTCTTATAGACACGTGGTCTAGGCTGAGAGGAGATGAAGACTTTTACAACCTCGGTCCTGTGGAGAAGAAGAAGCTGATCAGCCAGGCAGTGGCAGAAACACTGGGAACAGCTGTTTTCGTCGGCCTCGGCTGCAGTGGTGTCATTGCTAATATTCCTGGTACAGAGACGTCGGTCAATCATCTGACAATCGTGCTGGGATTCGCCACAGCCATTGCCTTAGTGGTGACGGTGAGTAGAAGAAAATTAACATCCCGCAACTAAAAGATGTTCAGGATTTGACATATTCAGATATACTAGTCATCTTCAGTTATAATATTTTGTTACTTGAATCAATATTTATGATGTTGAATTATTTATGCAATAACTTCTTCCTCTTCCCCAGGTGTTCGGACACATCTCAGGATGTCACGTGAATCCCGCCATTTCGCTGGCCGCGGTCATCATGGAAGTCATCTCCATACCGAAGTTCCTTCTGTATTCAGTTTGTCAGTGTGTCGGGGCCTGTCTGGGAGTAGCAGCTGTCAAGGTATCAAGTCTGAAGTATTACTGTAAAGCATTTATGAGGATATACTACAGGGTACAATTAGTAATATGTTTTATGTGCTGAACATTTAAGAATAGTGCTGAATATCCAAAATTTAGTGCTAGGAAAGATCATAGGGGTTTCTTATATGCATTCAAATTTATTATCTTAACTTATTGGATGTTTTCAATTTTCGACTTAAGTTTAGACTTTGCCCTTAATTTTTAATTCCATAAAAGCGACACGTCAATTATAGTGCGTGAGTTTGTTCCCTTTTACGAAGAAACTATTTGGAATTCTGTCGTGAATATTTCAAATATTGCTCTTTTATTACGTTGTAGCTTAACGATTCATGCATATAGTAATCCTATGTTGCTGATTTAGGCAACTAGTTTCGGTTCTTGTTTTGAACCATCTTCAGGCCTCAAGGTGTCAAGTGATCACTTCATTCGAAGGTCGTTAACAAACAGAGTTCAATAAATGAAACATACAAAACACGTCACATGGAACGGACACACATTACAAAAAACACGAAAAACATGAAGGGACATTGACGATCGATCGTGACCGGGCTGAGGTAAAGCCTAGACTCTTCGAATGAAGTGATCACTTGACACCTAGAGGCCTGAAGATGGTTCAAAACAAGAACCGAAACTAGTTGCCTAAAACAGCAACAAATGATTACTATAAGCAGATTGCAAACCATTTTAAGTATAATACAGTAATCCGGATGCTAACAACTATTTAAAAAAAAAATTAAGATTCAAGTTTTGTATAAGTTGTATATTGTGTCCATCATGATTCACCTGATGAATTGAACTTCCTCAACATAATGTGTTTAGTACAAATACTTGAATCTTTTGAAAGCGAGGAGGCCAGCAACTTGAAATAAAAATCATAATCCTAGTTTTGGAACCAATGAGCGTTATTTATCGAATAGTTTCAAAAGCATGAAAATATAGGGAATAAAATAAAATGATTGTCAGTATGGCATTTTAATCTGCTCTACTGGTAGAACAATACTTTATTTGTACCAAACAATAGCAATGTTTGTGAACTAGTGCAAAAAACCTATGAAATTCCACAATACACACCTACAGTAGAGTATAAGTATTACCGTGGTTAAAAGGAGTAGACATACTCCTGTAATTATCATGTCTATACTCCTTTTATCAATGGTTTTACCCTCAATCCACCAGGTGATATCCCCAGCCTACTGCACAGCTACGGACTTCTGTGTAACTCAGCCCAATGCTGAGGTAGGTGCTGGAGCCGCTACTCTTGCTGAGGGGTTCCTAACCGCCATTCTGATCTGGGTGGTGTGTGCTGCTGCTTGGGACCGCCGCAACCTTGACAAGCACGACTCTTTGCCTATTAAGTTCGGCTTTGCTGTCATCGCCATCGCTTTGCCTGGGGTAGGGTTGTGTTTGACATGTAGATAATATATTTGTGTTGGATTATATTCTGGAGTTGATAATTGAGTTAAGACGATTCCAATTCAGCCAGAATTTGGTTTAAGGTCTTAAGGCTTAAGACATCCTTGATTTGTTTCATACTTGTTTCGTGGAGATTAAATATAGACCTGCAATCACCACAACATCCCAAGATTGTGATAATCAAGTAGGTTTAAGGTATACTTGAACATGCTCTTACCAATGTCTTGGAAATTGGGGGACTTACTATCACCTAACTTTGGGTAAGTCATCTTTTCAATATTCTGGCTACACTTAGTTGTGGAATTGTTACTCCACGTTAAACCACATAGAAGTAACATAAATTATTATAATACGATTATTTATATTACTTATCTTTGGGTAAACGTTTGATTTGGCCCTTTCTTCCGCAGCTGCATCAGGTACAAGCTTTTTTCCCAGTTACAACCATAGCATAGAGTAGAGATTGTGAATTGCACTATACAATGGTGGGAAGAACTAAAATAAGATAATAGACTAGACCTCTCCCCCAACTGACCCTTATACTTCGAAATAACTTGTTTGTGCATATATTTTTTTCTAATTCAAGAATGGACTGAACGTCAAGCGATATATTTAACAGTTTTCCAACACGATCACTCGTATTTATACTTATACTGCAAACCTTTAGAGTAAGTATAAAATATGTTGAAATGGCGATCTGTATCAAAATCACAACTATCATCAGGCCCAATCATCAGCCCACTAATGTGATTAATTTGTTTCAGGCAAAATACGCAGGATGTAGCGTAAATCCTGCAAGGAGTTTGGCTCCAGCTTTGATATCTGGCAACTGGGACTACCAATGGGTTGGTTGTTGTTGTAAACCTTTTATAAATTAGTTCCCGCTATGAGCTATCGTAAAGCAGACACAATCTCTTTACTAAATTGATTTCGATACTCGTAACATTTTACTGTATTCACTAACATAGATTTTATCTTGTTCAAATGATGGAAGTATACTCAGTTTTAAGTTCATGTATTTTAGGAAAGTCAGTCATCTCTGATCAATACATCGTTGCCGTATGGAAACTTCCCACTTATAGAAGAGATCATACTCAAGATATAGAAACGTAATGAGACTAGGGATTATTTGCTTATCATTGCTGTGTACCATTTATTGTAGGAAATGACAATAATAATTTTAACAGCGTGTAAATACTTTTTGTTCTTCACTATTCCTGTAAATCTGAACAATTTTATTTCATATTATTCAATGTTGAACGTTGAAAGTAATTTATAGAAAAACACATATAATAATATAATACATTTAAACCTTGCATGGCAGTTTGTTAGTTTTCTTCTAGTCTTGCGCACCGGTATAAATTTGAAACCCACAGAAAGATTTTAAAACGCCAGTTTTTAGATGCATACACTCTTCCACAAAAACACAGTATAGTCTATTTAATTTTATATTTTAATATTTTAATTTAATGTTTTAGTTTGTTATTTGTTTAGTAATCATTCAACAATAATTATTTAAATGTTTGTTCACTTTTAGGTGTACTGGATAGGACCTTTTGGAGGCTCCATTATAGCGTCTTATATCTACAAGACTTTACTATCAGAAGTAGATCCTCCAATGGCAGTGTCTACCAAGGAAGACCCTCAGGACGAAGAACATCCTTTGTAGAGAATATCATCACAAGAATATCCTTTGTAGAGAATATCATCACAAGAACATCCTTTGTAGAGAATATCACAGAAGAATATCCTTTGTAGAGAATATCATCACAAGAATATCCTTTGTAGAGAATATCATCACAAGAATATCCTTTGTAGAGAACATCATCTCGAGAATATACTTTGTAGAGAATATCATCACAAGAATATTCTTTGTAGAGAATATCATCACAAGAATATCCTTTGTAGAGAATATCATCACAAGAACATCCTATGTAGATAATATCATCACAAGAATATCCTTTGTAGATAATATCATCACAAGAATATCCTTTGTAGATGATATCACAGAAGAATATCCCTTGTAGAAAAGGACATTAAGTCCTAAACATAACTCTAACAGGGAATACAGGCAACTATTGCTTTACACAAATCAATTAAAGTCCACCAACATCAATATATGCAAAAAACTTTCGCAAAGAAAAAAATATGGCATGTCTAACTACCTTATCAAAGTACAAACCACTATTAATTTCCATATTTCATAGTATAAAACTGGTAAAGATTGTTTAGTAATAATGTTACTAAAATATAAAACTGAGGAAAAGAGTATTAACATATTTTATTAAATACAGGAAAGGATAGAACCACGTTTTACTAAATCATTGAAAACTGTTTAGGTTTACTCTCAATTCTTAGTAGTTTAGTACACGTATTAATTTCACATGTTTCATTTACACTGCCAATGTACTGTATGTTGTTGTTTAACTTTAAATAAACAATATATTTGTTAGTAATGTTTCATATAAACTTAATATTTGTTTGCAATGTTTTCACATGTTCTTTCCTACAACTGTATCAGTACATACCTTTACTCAACTTCACCGTATACGTATATTGCTGATAAATACTTTTGTTAATTGATGTTAAGCAGTGCATTCATGTTGGCATTTATTATGGTATAGGTCCATCCAACCCACAGCTGGAGTAACTATAATGCTTGCCTAGTAATCGGTCACCAGTTCAATCCTTAGTACCTTAGTATGCTTAGTGCCTTTTCGATCGCTCAAAACTGGTCCCAGCTGTTCTTGACAGGGGTTTGAAAATTGGTCCTGACGAAACAACCTACTAATATTGTTCGTATCGAAGTTCTAATCCTTCCGTCATGTTCGAATTAAATTATTCACTCTTGAGTTTCAGTGCCTAAATATTATAAAATCTACTGTGACATGTAAATGAAATGAAATGAAATGAAATGAAATGAAATGAAAATACTTTTTTATTGAGGCGAACATTAGGACCACATGGTCCTTTCTTACAGTTAACCTCTTATGTACTAAATATATACTAAACAATGTATTTTTATAAAACTTTTAAAACTATTAACAAAATAATAAGTAAAAACTTAAGTTATAAATCTTTGTCCCTAATATACGCATACACACACACATTCACTCTTTGCCATACCTAGGCCTAACGCACGCCATCCCACCAAGCCACGGTCATCCGATCGAGATAGTACGCCTTCAGCGCCGCCGTCAGTTGGGAACGGGATTCTATGCTCCTGATAGTGCATGGTAGTGAGTTCCAAAGGCGACATGCTGTTACTGTAAATGATCTATTATAAACTGTTGTCTTATGGTGAGGAATTTGGAGTTTGGAGCAAAGTAAAGTAATACTTTAGTCGATAAAGTAATACGAAAAATACTGTACATGTACAATGTTAACTGCTACAATTGTGTGTCATTTAAAATTAAGTTACATGTACAGTATTTTTTATTGTAATAATACGTGAATCACACTATAAAACCGGCACTGTTGTTAGATTGATCTTAAAATCAAAAGAAAGTAGTATTTCTACTAGTTTAAATCATGTTCTAGCTGTTTATAGCAATATGTTCTAGCTGTTTATAGCATTGTAAAAGTTAGATTACACAAACATCCCAGTACAATACCAAGGTAGAACTTGTGTAAACACCCCTTGTTTTATAGTGCGGTGGTAAACCAAGTGTTAATTAAAGTATAAATGGAATCGGGGCAACTTAAATTGGTTGCTAAGTCTGGGTAACCAGAACCTAACCTTTGTATTTGGCGTTGCGGCAAGTTTTACTCAAGGGTTCCCGACTTAAATTGTTTTAATTATCAACTCTATTTAATTAATACTGTAATTACTGTTAATACTGTTAATACTGTTACTGTTACTGTTAATACTGTTAATTACTGTTAATATTGTAATTACTGTACATTTTTTGTGGTTGGTTAACTTTAGGGCAGCGAATGGCTGCAATTTTTATTTATGTAAAGAGAGGGAGGGTTGATGAAACATAATTAAAAATTACGTGATTTTTGTAGAATGTAACAATTTTTTGTAGAATGTAATAATAGTCATTTTAGTACGTAATTAACGCTAGTACATTGGAACCTCAATAGCAAGACCCTCACGCCTAACTAGGTGCTCATGATACAAGGGCAATTTTTCAATACTCTCGATTTTGTATTGCCCTAAATTACATGATTTGCAAACGTCGATTCTAATTCAACCTTAAAAACTAGAACTCTGTGGCAAAAAATGTATTAATGATTTTTTTTAAGTGGACAGAATTACCAAATGTAAGTTGATTGCTATGTAATACAAGTTTTATCTTTTCAAACATAAAGAGACCGTAAACATTATATTTTCAAGTTGAAAAATTATTGTTAACTGAATCAGATCTTTTAGACTAAAAATTACCGTTAACGCTCTTTTCTGTTGGTGTATTCGGTTTTAATTTAGTAGTTGAACCATAGATGTTAAATGGGCCCTTAACACAAAAAATAAATAATATCACCAAAGTCTTTTTAAGTGTAAGAATTACACGTATTCTAGACGTATAATTTGTAGAAAATAATGTTACTATAAGTCGAGATATTTCAATACGGGTTTTTATGCATACTATTCAATGATCGATGGTAATGGTAATTTTTCCCCACCCTCAGAATTACCAATGCTAATACCCCACCCGCATAGCTATAGCTTCATCGACCTTCTACATTTGGATAGCCCACTTAAAACTTCAAACATAATCAGACCCGCTTCCAGAATACAAATTGGAAACGAAAGTCTTAGAACTTCTCTACAACTCATTTTAAAATTAATTTACGTAAGTCTAACCGAAACTATTTCCTGTAAAATGTTTGCTGAGAATCGATTTAATATATCAACAAGCTTTTATCGTTGCCCTCATGTTAGAACAAAACTATTGTTATGTTTAAATTTAAACATAATTTAAGGTACGCTAACATAGTGCTTCGCTGTTTATAGGAGTATGTTTTTAATTTTGAAAGGACTCTTACAACTTATACGAATGTTAAAATTGTAGTTTTAAAATAGCAATGTGAATACAGTAGTTGAAATGAACAAATAATAGAGTTCGCTGATCTTATGACTTTAAAATAAACGATTTACCCAGTCAAACTGCAAGGACAACTTTGTAAACCATAGCTTCTCCTGACCTACATCAATTATTACTGTAATTATTATCAAGAGGGAAAATGTGATCTTAGAAAATAACATACCCTGTGAGTAGTTTATTTAATTAAATTATTATTTATGATAAAAAATTGAATACCGCTGGTCTGTATGTGGTAAGTCTAATTAAATATTTAAGGCAACCGCTGTATTCACACCATCTTGAATATTTTTGCGTTTTTAAAATTCAATAAGTCATTAAGAATCAAAAGATATTCAACACAGATATTATTTAGATTTAATATATTATTGTAGAAAGTCATGTAGGGTGTTTAATATATATTTAATGTCTAATTGGAAGGTCGGAAATCCTTGCGGTTTCTACAGATAAAAAATTTGGGAAAAATGTGTTATATTAATTAATTATAAATATATAAACAAATTTATCAAAATCTAAATGTATTAAATACGCAGTCACAGGTGATTATTTGTACTTAATATAACAACTCTTGAAGTGTAGTAGAAGGACCAAGCCACACGCAGGACCCCAAAGGTTCCCCGATCTAACGATAACAATCCCATTTAAGTTTCCCGCCAAATCTGGCAGACCGCCACGTTCAGCTAAATGTGGCGGGAACTAATCAAGAGCTTTAACTGATAATGGCGCAATACAATCGAAATTTAGCTATTAGAAAGCATTCGTTGCGGAAGAGATTCTACTTGATCACTCTTTTAATCAAAAATAATAATACTGTATGTATAATTTTTGATTAAGTAATGATGTAAGATTGAGTTTACTTTATGGGTAGCTAAGTAGTTACAATGCTATCAGTTCACCGGTTCGTTCCTCGTAAAGTCAGTATTATTTGATGTTTAGAAACTGAACCAGCTTTCATTTAAGACTGTTACTCTTGATAAATAGTTCTAGTAAAAGAAACGGCTAACTACTTATCATATTAGGTAACAGAGTTCCATATGGATTTCTCTCTATTTGTTCCATTTAACCAGTTCTGCAATCGTCTATTGGCCTATTCTAAATAGATGATTGCAGAACTGGTTAAATGGAACAAAACGAGATAAATCCATTTTAGTTTTTCTTAATTTGTCTCTACAATGTCAGATCCAAACATTGATTCTTCTATGTAAAACAGAGTAGACCCACCTTGTTTGAACTTTTGATAGTTCTATAGTAGAAATTTACTCATTTTAATAGTAAAACGGTCATGAACAAAAATATTTTTTCCCATATCGGATCAAATAAAATGTCCAGCCATACTCTCATGATAAATTAATTCCTTAATCCATTGACGTTTCATATTATTCACATAAGCAAGTATTATTCCTAGAATTGTTCAGCGTTCAATAGACTTGGAAGAAAAGAATTCCAAAAACTTGATCCAATCATAGTGTGGAAACATAGTGGGTAAGTCGCACCAAGGAGATGGAAGAGGATTTCTTATTCTTATCTCTGTGACACAGCTTCGCGTTGTGACGTCATGATAAACTTATTGACATCGAGCAGCGGGAGTGACGTAGCTCAATCAGGCGTTGATTATGTAATATTGAGTTATATCAACGAAAGAAAAAAAATCAATATTTTAATACATCATTCCATTAGGTGATAAACAATTTTTTTCAAGATGATTGTTTTTTATTTGCGCAGTACTTTTTTAATTTATTTTTATTTTTTCATTTACCAATTAGTACCGATACGATTTGGCGGTGCTTCCTTTTATTTTGCTGGAAACAACGAAAAAGAAGCAATAAAACAGTTTTGCAAACCTTCAGAAACTTAAGGCAATTTAAAATATATTCACCAGGGTATAAAAATCTCGTGGTTTGTTTTATTTAAGCCAGACATTTCAGTACCTTCACGTTACTCGAGTTTTATGATCCACTTAACTTGACCCTAGTAAACCTGGCCAAAGCCTTCTCACTTTTGTTTAAAACTAACAAACCATAATTCTTAAACAAAGCCAAAATGGCTGTATAGGACGATCAAATACGCATTTTATAACGTGAGTATCATTTATTTTAGAACAAAAGTCCTCATAATAATTCACTTAAACATTTCAAAATCTAAGCTTACATTCCACGTTACCTGGAAAATGTTAGGTAAATGTTTTGGCACTAGAAAATATTACAAGAGAGAGATGGTGATGTGTCTACACCAGACCAAAGTGATTATGACACATAAATAGTTTGTAGATGGAAGTGTCACCTAGTAAGAGAGATGTTACCTTGTATGACAGTGATACATGGAGGTGTAGCTTGTAACACTGTAGGATGAGAGAGAGGTGGAGTGTTGTGTATATCAGACCAGAGT